CGGCCGAAGCCCAGGTGAGTTCCAGGCGGCCGCGGGTTGGGAATTCGAGCTCGAAGGGAGCATTTAAGGGTTGCAGAGGAGAGAGAGACGGAGCCCTGAGGGGGACGCGACGGCTGGGGTCTAGGGGGCGAGAACTAGCCTGGGGGTCGTGGAGAGGTTGCAGGGGACTAGTTGGAAACGAGATGTAATAGGAGAAAGGTAATGGGGAAGGGGGCTGGAGAGGGAGTTTCGGGCGTGGGAGGGATGAGTCTTGTGGCTTTGAGCAGCTTCTCCGAAGAGGACGTGGCTTAAGTGGTAATTGGGGGGTCGCAGGAAACGGGGTTGGGGCGGAGGAGACAAGGAGGCGGGGTAGAGAGGCCCAGACTGGGGGAAGGGGCTGGGCCGATGGGGATACAGCTGGGAAGCGGTTGGGGGGAAGGGGTACAGGACATTTCTGGGGGCATCTGCTGGCGCGATTGAAGTGTCAGAGAGAGAATATCTCTGAAGGAGGTCAGTGCCTGACACCCAGTGGGTGCTCAATAAATACAAGAGGTTCTGAAACCACTGATGTGGCAGGCAGCTATTGGAAAGGGGGAAAATAGGGCTGGAAGGGAAGAAAGAAGATTAGAAGTCATGGCAAGAACTAAGGGAGGGCCTGGCGAGAAGTAAAAGGCTAGATGGCCCCATACAGGTATTGGGGTGCAGCTACTGGAGATTCCATCTCATCTCTCTTGATTCATCTCCTTCCTAACTTCACACCCAACAGCTGGGTGCCCAGGAAGTCAGCACCCTCTCTACCAGTCTCCCAATCTTAGAAACTGCACCTTTCTCAAGACTGGCTGAATTCTGGGGGTCTCAGGGAGCAAGGAAGGAACCTTGGGAGTGGTTTGTGGGGGGCCAGAAGTGTTTCAGAAGGGGAGAGTGGATGTGCACGCATCTATGTGTACAGGGCTGTCGCTGCCTCCACATAGTTACATCCTTGGACTTAAATGGGTAAAATAACATACAGGAAGTCTGTCCCCAGGCAGCTGTGAGCTCTGTCTTGGAGAGGCTCTGTAATTGCGTGCCCTCCCTTCTTTTCCTGGGTGCTCTGTAGACCTGGCTTCTTTAAGGGAAGACCTCTCAGTGTCTCTTTGTCTGACATGGGAGCTGATGAGCACATTGTGCGTTGCGGCCAGGGACGTCCCAGCACCACCTTCCTCGGTTCATTTTGTTTGGTCTTCAGGTCTCCAGAATCTCAAGGTGTCTGGGAGCGGCTAGCTGGAGGTGACCTGAAATAAGTGGAAAGTTATTTCACTGACAGGTTTGACTTCATTGGCTCTGGCATCTGGTAGTTTTTATCGGTATTCATTTGTTTTCTTTCCCATAGGGATCTTTATCTGGGATCTCCCAGACATGCTGTGGAGCCCAGGTTTATATCTGGGTTATTATGGCTCATTCATGAGGTGAATCTAGATAATTTGAATATAAAGAGAGCCACAGGGCGATAACCACCACTTCTGCTTCCAAAATGTTCTGGCTTTTATGAAGGTAAGGACACATCAGTACAGCACACAGTCATACTTCCTGCAGACATCGACTATGGATCTGCCCTGGCCAAGACACCCTGATGAATAGGTCTGGGATCTTTTAATCCCATGCCCCTGGTATTGCCTCTTCTCTGCTCTAGTAGTGCGGGTAGGCCAGGTCTCTTGTTTGAATTCCTGGCCTTAGTCAAGTATCTGCCTGTTCTTTCACCTGCAAAATGAATGGATTGGCCACTGCCTGTGTTTTTCAGCAGCCTTAAAACTCAACCTCTTTCAATAACCTTATCATCTCCAGTATATACCTTCCTGGAATTTATGCAACTCCTGACTGTTGATTCCTTGCTACAGTGATGCTACTTCTGTTCAGCTCTCCATTCTACAGTTTAAATTCAAAACTGTTTAACCACTTTTTTATCTTCCAAATAGGAAATCATGGTGTCAAATGTGCTTGTGCACATTGTACCCATTCCCAAAGCTTTGGCTGCAAACTTACGGTTGGAAATCCCTAAGCAAGATTCTCCCTAAAGTCCAGCATGGTGACTCCCCCATTCTATCTAGCTGTAGGATTCACTTTTCTCTCCAACAGGGACCTGCTAACTTACTGCTTCCCATTCCTCATCTCTTTAAAGTGGTGTGTCTTGGGTGGGCTCAGAGTTCAGTTGAGCAAGGACTGATTATGCCAAGTGCTCAGTTGGTTCCTAGGAACAGAGATGAGCCCTCATGCCTTGGAGGAAGGACATACTAGTGCCCTCCCCATGGAAAGAATGGAGTTCAGATCAGGTGGTCGGTACAGCCACAGAGGTGGCACAAGATATCATGGGGATAGAATTAGGGGTAGTCAATACAAGCTTTGGGACAAGGGGGATTCCAGCAAGTTTCATCAGAAGTGGTGGCTGGCCCCAAGTCAAACCTGGAAGGCTACCGAGTTAAACCAAGCCAGGAAGGGGGAGTTGCACAAGCAGAGCCCTTTAGGGAACATCTTTTGTGGTAGATGCTTTTATACATCCCAACTCTTGTTCTGGCAACTACCAGCAAAGAGGGTTCGTGTTGTCCATGTTTTCCTGAGAGGGAAACAGTCCCAGGCAGGTGACAACTTCAGAGATGGCTCCTTGGGCTTTCTAGAAATGTGAAGGATCATTAGTAACCTTTCATAAGTGAGGCCCCCCCCCAAAAAATAAATAAAAAATAAGTGAGGCCCAGATCTTTAGGGCAGAGTTTCTGAACCACATGCTTAACATTTGAGGCTGGATCATTCTTTGTCTTAGAGCCGTCCTATGCCTTGTAGGATATTGAACAGCATCCCTGGCCTTTGCTAATGAGGTGCCAATAGTGTTCCCTCTCCTTAAGTTGTAAGAATCCAAAAATGTCTCTAGACGTTACCATATGTCCATGAGGACAGAATCGCTTCCCCCAAATGAAGTGATGCTCTGTAGTAAGATCTGGTTCCCAGCTATAGCCTGCCATTGCCTCAATGGGGCTTTCGTGTTTGTGGAAGTTCTGACAAACTGCCACCAAGGATGGGAGTGGGGGCAGAAACTGAATTCTGCTGTCTAGTCAGTTTTTAATTTGGAGGGAGTGGGTCTTGATAAAAAGGAGGAGTGGATGCAGAGGGAGTGAGACACTGCCCAACGATGGACAGCGGCTGCCCTTGTCTTTCCTTTGTGTTTTGCAGCTGACCTGATTTTCCAGAGTGAACCATCCTCATCTCAGAACAAACTGTTGCTTTCTCTTGAGATTAAAGGTATTAGATTCTCTTCCCAAGAGCTACTTTTGGAGGTTGACCTGGATAAACATGGCTTTTGTCAGCTGAATTATCTCCTCTTGCCCTTTCACTTTGAGCCACCCATCCGTTCCCAAGCATACACTTGAATTTTTGTTCTTGGTTCGTCCTTGCCTCATCATCTCCTCCTCTGTCAGACCATGATATTGCTTCTTTACCTCTGTGGGAGGAGACAGCATGCTCTAGGGCCATAGGACTGAAGATCCCTTCTGGGAGCTGCCCCCATGCCCCACCCACAAGCCCTTTGTGTACCCAGAGTTCCCAGCCCAACTGTGCCAGGCAGCCCCTGCTCGGCTGGCCATTCAGATGGCCCCAGGCGGCCTCTCCACAGAGCAAGACAGGCCCTTCTCTTCAGCCCTCCTTGTCCCCAGAGTGGCAGAACAAAGGGCTCTGTCTCCGCACCAGCCCACTGCCACCACAGCTTGGAGCCTGGTTCGTTCCTTTTCAGTTTTCACCCTGGCCCAGGAAGGAGCCTCAGAGATTAGGCATGTTTCAAAAATGCAGTTGAAGAGTTTGGGTTCTACTCATTTCCTAGGCGAGACTTTCTGAGTCCAAACCTGATGATAAATAAAGTAGTGATTCAGGGGTTCAGCCTGTGGGCTCATCGGCTGGATGAATAAGTTGTCCTTGTCTGACTCATTCGTTTATAACCCAGCTCTGCCCTACTTCACAGGATTGTGTGTACAAGAGAAGTACCCCTGCTACAGGGTTTTCATTATTGTTGTTGCTGGGTGTATGAGTTTGCTAGGACTGCCATAACAAAGTACTGCAAGTGAGGTAGTCTGAATGACAGAAATGTATAGGCTCACAGTTCTGGAGGCCAGATGTCCAAGATTGAGGCGTTGGCAGGTTTTATTCCTCCTGTGGGCTGTGAGAATCTGTTCCATGTTGGTTTGCATATGGCCATCTTCTCCCTACATCTTCTACATTTGTGTCCAAATTTCCTCTTACACGGACACCAGTTGTATGTGTAAGGTCCCACCCTAATGACTTTGATTTTAACTTAATCATCCCTGTTAAAGACCCTGTCTGCAAATATGGTCACATTCTGAAGTCCTGAGGAAGGAACAGGTTACATTTTTAGATAGTAAAGGAATTTTGGGAGAATGGTCATGCCAAGAGAGAATAATTTCATTTTGTTTCATCTCCTTTAAATAAATACTTTAAGGTGTGGGCAAGTGATTGGTCATGTCAGTTTTGGAAGCTCCCCTTAGGGGAATTTTCCAGATCTTGGACTCTTAACGTTCAAGGGTGACTAACTAGAGGCAAAGACCCAGCACAGGGAGAAATGGAT